GGGCGGGAAGGGAGCGGCTTCCCCTCCGCAGTGCCCCTCGCCCGGAGTCTGTAACTCTTGCTTTGGACTCTTAATAAAGCGTACTATGGGAGCATAACAGTGGGATACGATGAGTTAGTGCGGATTGTCGTTTTTTTTGTTCTGATTTCCCCAAATAGTCGAAGTAGTTTCCGTTGGTGGGACGCTGGTGGCACGTCGGTGAAATCCCCTGTAGGAAGTCGTCTGTGGTAGTTCTCGAAGCATTTGTGTATTTTCCTTTGACCTGCTTGCTAAGGTGGCTTTGATTTAACGGCGAATGCTTCATAGTGGCGTTAAATGTGCTCACAGTTGTGAATGCATACCCTGTAGTTCTTCAGCCTATTTTAAGTTACTCGTTACTTCTGAAGTATTAGTAAGACTGTGCAGTTAGCTGAGTTTTGTACATACAAGTATTTGCAAGGGAACATAACTGTGCCGTGTAAGTAAGGTTAAGAGTATATGTGGCAGATCAGCATACTCTAAATAGAGACTTGTTCATGACCTACTTTTTTTGCTGAAAACACTTTGTTTTCGAGTTGGATTTTTTTTAGGCCTGTGTGCCAGACAGAAACTGTCGAGGAAGATTCCTCATGATGAAATGGATGTTGTTGGTAGGAGGTGGATGATTTTGATTTGATGGTATTTTCAAGCTTAATCAACCTGAGACATTCTCCTAAGGCTGTGGTACAGTTCAAAGGCTACATCACAAGCCCTTGGATTCTTCATATCAATCACAGCTGCTGCAAATTAACCTTTTTGGTATCTAGTGCCAAATTTATTTGTGAAAACTGTAGGTTGTTGGCAGTGCCAATCCAAATCTTGGTGCCAGTGTTCACCCTTGTTGCATAACACTCTTTAGATGTTACAGATCATGGCCAAATCTGTGCTCTCCTATGTGAAAAAAGATGTAGAAAAGTCTTTTTTTTATTTGAGTTATTTGAGTTCTTTGCTGATTGGTGCTTAAGTTAATGTGTGAGCCTAATAGGAGGACAGACCTGCATTACTAACAGGCCTGGCTGTCTTTGCCACTAAGCTATTCAACAATGTTTGCTTTTCTCAGATCAGGTATTTTTCATCTGATGCATGTGTGACATGAAGGTCATGTTGCTGTTCAAGCAGACTAGAGAGAATTTAATTACAAGTAAAACAGTCAGAGGAAAGCAGAAAGCACTGGAATTAAAGCTGACTGCAATTAACATATTAGTGTAATTTTCACTGTCATGATAGCAGTGTGGATAGTCTAAGTCTATGATATCTATATCAATATTTGAAGTATTGCTTGTGAAATCATTATCAAAAGATATTTGATTCATGTAGGAAACAGGAACTTTTTGAGTTTTTAAGTTGCTATAATCACTGATAATTGGTAATGTACATTAAAGTGATATCAAAGTGTTCATGAGGTTAACTACTCTATGCTGAACTTCAAAATATTACTGACCTTGGTATGGACAGGCACATAAAATTAGCTAGAAATGGCCATTCTGAATTTCTAGCAATACTGTGAGATGTTGAAATCAGTAGGGTGGTAGCATTTTTGAAGGTCGGGTCTGGGCAAGCAGGTTAAATTGGTTTTTTCTTCAGTAGTGGGAAGAAAAAGACATTCTCAAAGGGTGTTATTTTCCCAGATGTAATGGATGTGAGAGATGATGGGTCTCCAGCCATCTTCTCAGTGCAATTCTGCCATCTGTCACTTGAGCAGGGAAAAGTGTTTAATGAGCCTTTAATGGAACTTGGTGATTTCAAGCCCTTATCAGAGACACTGTGTTGGTTCAGGTACCTGATCAGCTGCACTGCTGCTGTCCATGCTCCTCCGGAGGAAGGGTGTCCCTTTCAGGGGTGCCCCTGGGGACAGACACTGGGCTGGGAGATCTCCATGCTGCCAGATGTTCTGCAGCAGCTGGTCTGGGCCTGTTGATCTTGACCAGCTGATGCTCAGCACCCAGAGGAGCAGGTCTGGGCTCCAGGGGGCAGGACACCACCCTGAGAGATGCCGCAACATTTGGAGCCAAACTTGATTTTAATTTGGGCTGCAGTCTCTGCACTGTTGTCTGTAGACTGTGGTGTGGTAGCCAGGCATCCCAAGCTGCCAGGTTTTAGCTCCACTTGCTTCCCACAGAGCCTGTTTCACACACAGTTCCACCTAAACCCCTGTTGAGTGCTATTCTACACCCTTCTGGTAACAGTGTCATCTTTACTGAGTGTATAAAAACCTAAATCTAAGATGGATGCAAAAAAGTAGTATCATTTTCCTTTGAACATTAGTAAAATAGCAATAATAATTTGATGTTATTTTTAATTACCTGCTAATTGTGGCATCTGGCTAATGAGACTGTGCAGAATACATTGCAGTAATGTGGAAGTTCAGGAGTTGATTAAATCAGAGAAGTCTAAACCCAGCAGAAGCTCTTCCCTATTTACTCACTTGTAGACAAAACCCTCTCTTCACACATTTGTGTAGGAGCTCTTAGAAGTCTGAAAACATTATCACATTGCCATGAGAGTAACTCCAACAGTCTCAAGTCTTTATTTCAGAGCCAGTGATGCTTTTATTCTCCAAAAAAGTCCTCATGCAAAGTGTTACACAGCTGTCATGCTAGCAGAGCTTGATGGAAATGACACAGTGAAGAGAACCCTCAAACACTGTTCAGCAGAGTTGATTTTAGCTCTGTGGAGTAGCAGCAGACTGCTCTTTGAAATAGCAATCTCATTTCAATTTTAAATGTATTATTGTATCTTGCTTGTGATAGTATCACTGCACTATTGTAGAGTTGCTGAGCCATCTTGAGAGAGCAGCTGGAAGGGTTTGGTGGGATGGGAGGCTGGGGCTGTGCACACCCTTCTCACTCTGTCCAGGACTGTGGGTGAGTGTGGGGGAGGTTGGATGTTGTCACTGGGGGGTTTCTTACAGTGCCAGTCCTTGGGATGGGCTGCCAAGTGGAAATCAGCCTTGGGTTGACAACTCTTCAGAAATTTTGTGAGTGCTAGTTAAAAGTGATTGGTTCAAAGTGATTAAACGTGCATGAGTTTTGTTGGAAATGCCTCTTTGTTTGCTGCTGTTAGTGCATTAGTGGTGTGCAAAGGGATTTTTATTATTTTAGTTGAACAGTGGAATTTTGTGAGTTTTTTTCTTTTTTCCACTAGATGGCCCAAGCACGCTTCCAAGTACCCCATGAGAACTGAAACTTGATTCATTTCTCTTTTAACTGAAGTAAAAACTCTACATTGAGAGGCACATACCAACCTGTGTGATGCTTTGTGTTTGTTTAAAATACAAACACCTTCTATCTACCAAGAGAGTGTTGGTCAATGGAAGGAAAATGCAGTAATGAAAGGTTATTTTTTCCTTGATTAGAGCATTTTTTATCAAGTGTAGTATAAAGCTGTTTAGTCTTGTGTTGAAAAGAGAACTGGTGTGCTTTCACTGACTGCTCCACAGTAATTCAGGGAGTTCAGGGAGCCTCTGAAAAAATGTTGATCTGAAGTTTGTCCCTAACATCTCCTGGGACTGAGACTGGTATTTTGCAGGTCACCATAATTGATATTTTTTGGGGGGTGGCTCGAGTTTTGCTGCACAGGGTTTTCATAACAGCTTTGCAGTTCATTTCAGCAGTGTATAGATGTGGGCAGTGGGTTCTGCATAGGCTGCTAAATGTACAGGCTAATTTAATTCAGTTTAACAGACATGAAGTGTAACTTGTTATCGTGAGTATCTTTTTGGTCAGTGGAGGAAGATGGATATACCCTGAAGGCAGCTCCTCCATGGGGGTGGTTGGACACTGGAATGAGGCTGAAGTGGTGGGATGTTCATCCTTAGAGAGACATTCAGAACTCAACAGGACTGAGCCCTATTAATATCTAGCTCTGGCTGGGATATTGAGCTACATAATCTTGACAGGTCTCCTTCAGCCTTAATTATTCAGCAATTCCAAAATGGGATTTTATTAGTTCCTTTGCTCTACTGCTGTTTAAACCAAAAATAAATGGAAAATGGATAGTTGTGTTTCTGAGCAAGTTGTAACCTCAGTAACTCCCAGCTTGCCTTTGCTTCTGAGGGCCTTGATGTGGTGGTGTTAGACCACCAGAAAAAGGATGTCTGTCTGTGAGTGTACTTCTCCTCCTTGACTTGCAATCCCCACTGGGGAAAAAAAAGCCATTTAAAGGGAGTGCTCTATTGCTTCATTTCACTGCTGCACTTGCCAAGTGCCAGCTCTTGCCTTATGTTTGGTATTATTACTTCTAGTGTCTCTTTTTAACAGGTATGACAGATTTTTTCTTACTCCATTTCTTAGGATATTTCCTAGGTTTTCTCTTCTGCTCCTTTCCTGTATGGGAAAGAGACAGCTGTTGTCCCTTCCTCTGCATCTGACTGTATTCCTTTTTTCCTTCCTTTTCCCACTGTTAGTATTTGTCCTGTCCTGTCACCTTCCTGCTTCTCTTCCCTTTTCTGGCTGGAGACAAATCAGTGTGTTCACATGTACCAGAAGGATGGGCATAAATGGAGTATTTTGGTGGCAGGAATATTGCTGCCTGCAGTCAGTTCTGCAGACAGAGGTCATCTGCCCTAGTTCACAGCCCTGCTGATCTGTGTTCAGTACTGCTTTTGCAGTATTTTGGTCTCCTTTCTAGTTTCTTCCAAAGTCAACAGCTTTCAGTTTATTGAGCAATGTGCCAGTTGAGCCAGGAACAGAGAAATTTCTAAAGATACTGTTTTTGTGATAGATTTGTATGTTTAATGGGATTTCTTTCCTGGACTGATACACTCTTCACTTTGTGCAGGACATTGGCTGCATGGCCTCACAACTGCTGTTATTAGTAATACAGGCTTAACTTTGTTTGTGACTGGAAACTGATGAAAGCAATTCCATTTTTAACATCCTGGTAGTAGAAAACATAGCTATAGGAATACTAAAATGTTAGTAGTAGTAGCAGTAGTATTTTTTGGTTAGTAGCATAAGTTATGGTTTAGTTCTATTTTTTTTACCAGAGAAATTTAATAACAAGTATGAAATGGGGCAATTTAAAAAAGTTGTGTTTCTAGCAAATCTTTGATGCAACAGAAACAGGTGTAATTTGTCTGCATATATTATTGCAAGTATTATATGGAACCTTGGTGTGAAAGGGATGTTGTCCAATCGTGATGTGAAGGTTTTTCAGCTAGTGTCTCAGTCAGGTCTCAAAACTTTGCACTTCACATGGTTTTAGTAACTGTAGACAGTTTAAGCAGGTAGTAATATTTATTTTCAGGCAAGGGTTTTATTTCATGTACCTGTTGTATGTAGGACAATAATGTGCTTATTGTGTAGTTTTGCATCTAGGGATACAGAAATTAAATTTTAGGGTGAACAAAAATAGTGGTGGACAAGATGTCAGAAAGGTGCTGTGTTTCATACCTGTCTCAGTGCATTTACATAGTGGTACCCCCTAAATACATGTAGGCATTTTGGATAAGTGGATTTAGTGCCTTTGGATGCATGACACAGCAGCCAAGATGTAGAACTGTGTGAAAGCTGGACCAAGCTGCAGAAGGTTGCAGTATCAGGTGAGAGCTTTGAAACTGCCTTCTGCTATAAGAAATGTTCATCCAGTTCAGTTTAAATTTTGTTTAACTTTACAGCTGCAGTGGTTACAGCATTGTCATACTGAAATCTTCAGAATAGTATCAGTTCTATTTGGCTGGCAAAAGTAATTCTAAAATCAGAGTGCTTGTTGCAATCGATAAAGCTTGTTCTCATGGCTAAAATACCAACTCCGGTTTCTGAACTTTTCAGAGTAGTTCAGAAATAATAATTTTAAAAAAAGGCAACATGTATATATTTAAAATATTATTAATGTTATTATTTTGTCTTTATATTCCTTTATGTTCTTCACTAGATGTCACTAGTAGATTTGGGAAAGAAACTTTTAGAAGCTGCACGAGCAGGTCAAGATGATGAAGTTCGCATTTTGATGGCAAATGGAGCACCTTTCACCACAGACTGGGTAATGACAACTTTTCCAGTGGAGAAAGTAAATCTTACTTTGCTCACCTGAAGAAGGAAATACTATTCTTACAATTCAGCATTTATATTACAGTTCTTCCTGGAATTCTGCATTCTCATCATCTAGTCTCTAATTCAAAATTAAACATGTCTGTTTCTTCATATGTCCTCCTACTGATTTTAGTAACAGACTGTGAGTGAGCTCATTGTGGTGACTTTCAAGATGAGCTTTGGAATGGTTAATGAGGGAAAGCAGCAATCATCCTCCTCATTACTGTGTTTATACACTTAGTGTAGTGAGGTCTGAATTATGAAAACAGTCCTAACTACCTAATATGTGCAGCTGAGAGTTTCCTGACATAGGGATACTGAGTTGTCTTTTGGGTGTGCTGATTTTTGAATAGGTTGTAGAGAGAGGTCAGGTACCCAAAATTCCTAGGGCGTTTACAAGCTCTTAAGAGCCTTAATCTGCTTAGTGACCTAACTTCCAAATAAACTCTGTTTTTAGCAGGAGGTTGGACTTAATTGACTTCCAAAGGTCCCTGCTGACCAACCCTAAAAAATGGAGTTAGACCCCTTGAAATGTTACAAAAAGGCAGAAAAAACAGAGTAAAAAGAAAGCAACAACAAACTTCCGTCCCCCATTCATATTCTGTAAAAGCCTCAACATCTTCTCTTCTTGAGACTACAAGGGGAAATGGTTTTGAAATGGCAGCTTGACACCTGGGTTTGGTATCTTGAGAGTAAGAAGAAATGCTTTGTTCTGCCATCTGTTAGAGCTGCATGTTTTGTGTTCATTACAGCTGGGAACATCTCCACTTCATCTAGCAGCACAGTATGGACATTACTCCACCACAGAGGTGTTGCTGCGGGCAGGAGTGAGTCGGGATGCCAGAACCAAAGTGGACAGAACTCCATTACATATGGCAGCATCAGAAGGCCATGCCAGCATCGTAGAAGTCTTACTTAAGGTACAAACTGCTGAAACAGGTCTGAAGTGGGGTTATTGCAATGGTTTATGATCAGATATTTGCAATTAATATGGTCGTGAAACCAGCATTGAAATTACATGAATAGTTAAACTGTGTGCATTGGGAGCTTTGTTTTCCAATTGGACTGTAATTTATTTTACATTAAAATCATCATGATTTCAGGTGAATTATTTACTGCTGTTTCAAAATAAGAATACTCCCTAATTTGATATTGTGTTTAGTAATAGATTTTAGAAGTAACATGTACTTTAGAGAATCTGTAATTCTTTTGAAATAAATAATGTATTTAGTAGATACATTTTTTTAAGTAATTCAATCTAATTGTAAGATAGCAGGGCATTCCTCATGGAGAAAAACAATTTAGGGCTTCATTCTGTGACCAGCATTATTTAATTGAGCTATTTGTAATGACATAATTTATGCAATGATCTTGTTTGTAGCATGGTGCTGATGTCAATGCCAAGGACATGCTCAAAATGACTGCACTTCACTGGGCTACTGAACATCACCACCAAGAAGTTGTAGAACTCTTGATAAAGTATGGAGCAGATGTTCATGCTCAGAGTAAATTTTGCAAAACGGCATTAGATATTGCAGTAGACAATGGAAATGAAGACATTGCAGAAATATTACAGGTAACTTTTAATTCCTCATGTTAAGGGAACTTGCAGCAAAGTACTTGATTACCCATGTCATAAACTCAGCTTTTACTGTAGCAGCTATGACACCATCTATTGATAATGCCACACTCCAGTCTAGTTCAATACATGAAATGAGATTAATGGTAGTAAACATTACTTGGTCAAAGAACATTTTCACCACCTACAAAGTTAAGGATAAGTATTCTTTATTTTCTTAAGTATGAGCGATGTAATACACAGAGGTAGGTGGACTTCTTAAAGTTGAGGTGTAAAAAAACCCTCCCTTCTCTGACAGTTTATTCTGACTATCCCCTAGTATTCAGTTAGCTTCATATATGGATAATAATTTCCTAGTTGGAGTTCAGACAGGACAGAAGAGATGCCAATTTTTCCAGAATTAGAAAAGCTAAGATTGAATTGTTGGAGAATTGATTTTAATAGATAATTCCATGGAAATGTGTGCTCCTTGTTCAATAGTGTTGTTAAAAGCAAACTAAGTGATAAATCTTACTGAGAAAGAATGCAAAGCAAATGAAAAATATCCACTGTATGAATTAGGCCAGTGTATAAATCTGTAACCTCCCTGTGTCTTTAAATGTCTGAACTTCTGGTGTGTTCCTTTAGCCTCCTCCTGACTGCAGAAAGGGTGGAGTAAACAGAAGTTAGTGATAATTCATAGAAAGACACAAAGACTGCCACATCCATTTCGTGGCAATTGCAGAGCTGTCAGAGTAGCTTTCCATGACATGTATCTGCCCCAGCAGTCTTGGTTCTTCACACTTCTCTTTTAGATAAGTGAGCTTGCATATCTGCAAAAGAGCCTTGTCCTCATTGTTTACATAACTGGTAGGGAGAAGTAGTGGTGTGTTGTTAAACTCTTTCACTCCAACAGATTTTCTATCTTTAGATCTCAACAAAAAAAGTTTCTTATGTACTTGGAGATAGGACACGATGTATGTGTATTGCAGGGGTGCAGTGAGGGAGCTCCTCCTTGTTTGTGTGAAGCATGCAAGGACTGCAGCTCTTACACAAGGCAGCAGCTCCTGTGTAGCTGCAGTGGGGATGATGATGTTCCCTTTGTGTCCCAGATTGCAATGCAGAACCAAATCAACACGAACCCCGAGAGTCCGGACACGGTGACGATACACGCAGCCACGCCGCAGTTCATCATCGGGCCTGGAGGGGTGGTCAACCTAACAGGTCTGGTATCTTCTGCACATCCATCCAGTAGAACAGCTCTTTAGGTGCCTAAAGGATAGCTGTGGGATTTTATACTTTCACTGATTTTCACCTTTTAGTGGAAAGGTGTGAGGAAAAACAGTGCTAAGAAGAGTTGCCATATTCCTCGTCAGTGGTTTTTGTGTGTTGTAAATATGTACATACCTAAAACAATGATCTTCACAGGCATAAATTATCAGAAATTCTATTTGCTTAACAAACCTCACTTCAGAATAGCACTTTGGTTCAGCAGAGTGCTGCTGAAAATGGAGTGTGTGCTAGAGGCTTCAGTGCAATAAAAATAGAAAAAGGGACTTTGCTGGTTTTAAATTTATCAGCTAATTTTTTTTTCATCCTTCTAGATGAAACAGGAGTGTCTGCTGTACAGTTTGGAAATTCATCAACATCAGTATTAGCTACGTTGGCAGCTTTGGCAGAAGCATCAGCTCCACTGTCTAATTCTTCAGAAACACCAGGTTAGAAAGCTAAGTCATTTAAACTCATTTAATGAATTTAAAATACATAACTTCAAGTTTCTGTCAGCTCGTGAAGTAGGGCAGTAAATAATGATTCTATGGCTATAGATAAGGAAGGAGAGCAAGGAAGGAATAATGACTATTTTTTGGGGGGCTATTTTTTCTTTTTATACAGAATAGCTTCTTTTTAGACAAAATCTTCCCTTTTCTTTCAAGATTTTGAAGAAGTTCTAGCCATGTTTCCTTCCAGAACTAAAACCCAACACTGAGTTTGACACTGAAAGATCAGAGCTGTTTGCCACAGCACCTCAATTGGCACTTCCAATTGAGACTTTTTTGTGACAGTGGCCTTTTCTTACTGCTGAGCCTGTACTTAGAAGCCAAATCAAGTTCAATACAACACCACTTATTCATGTGGGAGTTGCTGTTTTGGTTTCCTGAATAAACACTCTGTGAATATTTAAGCAGTGTTATAGGACAGTAATCTCTAAACATAAAGATCTTCAGAAGACAATGTCTGCAATCATTATTTCAATTACAGTGATTTTTCTGTGTATGTTACATTGTAATTAACTTAAAAGATGAAAGCTTCAGAGTTTTATCTACCTTCTGTCATCTTGAACATCACAACACAGTCTGTAGGGTTTTAATTTCATCTCTGCAGATAGAGAACATTCTAATGTCTGTTATCTAAATCAAAGGCTTTGCTTTTACCATGACAAATTGAAAATAAAATACAGAGCTAGTGTTCTTGAGTTTCCCTGATTGTGGTACCACTGGTTTTGCTCTTTGCCTCAGCATCCTGTTGGATGGTAGCACAGCACCCCATTTGCAGCATAGAGTGCAAGCTGGGCTGTGTGCTGTAGCTCTGAATGCAGGGCTTTCCTTGTCCTGCCTTGATTTGTAGAAGTGATACAGAGCTGTGAGAGTTCACTGCTTTATACTCATTATTGAGTCATGAATTTCAAATAGTTGAGCTGGATTTTTTTCACTTTCACCTGTAAAATTATATACATACAAGGTTTATTTTACTTCTTAAGCTTTATCTTTCTTCTTCGAAGGTGTAAAAATGTCAGCTCTGCAGAACTTTTCCTTTAGTCTTGTTTCATACTTTGTATAAGAAATAAAGTTGTTTGAAGTACTCATGGGGTGCAGACAAAACTTAAGAATCTCTAGGGGTCCTTTAGTCTTGTAGACCATTATATTAATAGAGAAATCTAAGCTGGGTCCTGACATACAGTGGCAAGGCATTGGTTCAAGGTAGTATTACAAGTTAATTTCATTCTGCTATTGGTATAACTTAGTCCAGCTTGTGTACAATGCAGAAGTTCATTGTGTTGTTAAAAGCAGCTGCTGTTCTTGCTGACCTGTTAACACTGACCCCAAAGCATCAATTTTGAGTGGGGTATATCAATATTATTGTAGTGAGCAAGGATGGTGTTGCATGTAAATGTCAAAATGTGAGTGCTTTATGTTGGCCTGATAAAAGACTCTGTTTAAAATATAATACATAGTAAAGTATTCATCAGAGGGTCAAGTTATGAAAGCCATGGAATAAATGTTTCTTTAGCTGTACCAAAATGCATTTGAAGTCATAAAATTTCATTTATAAATTGACTTAATTCCTTTACTAATCTGTTGCTAGTTGTGGCCACAGAAGAAGTTGTGACTGCAGAATCTGTGGATGGGGCCATTCAGCAGGTGGTCAGTTCTGGAGGGCAGCAGGTTATTACCATAGTTACAGATGGCATTCAGCTGGGCAACCTGCATTCCATTCCAACCAGTGGCATAGGGCAGCCCATCATTGTCACCATGCCAGATGGGCAGCAAGGTGAGTGCACACTTGTATGATTCCAGCTCGAGGAACTGTTTTAGCTGTAATAATAACAGTAATAATAATGACTTTTTAGGTGCAAATAGCTTGGACCATTTTGTTTACATCTATGAATTCTTAAATTAAAGAAGGCTCAGACATAAACCTCTGCAGTTCAGTGGGTTAACATGTCAGCTGAGCCTCTGCTTTAGGAGACAGAGTAGAAGAGTTATTAAACTGTGGAGAAAACATGGGACATTTAAGATTGCTTTGCCTTCAGTAAGTTTGATTTTTGCAAACTTGTTACAGAAATTAAATGATGGAGTAAAACAAAAACCTTCCTAATTCTTACACTGTTGCATTGCTGGAAGTTCCGTGGGGAGGTGAGGCTTGGATTTAGAAATGTGATGCATGAAGCAATGTCTGCAAGCTCCATGGAGTGTCGGTACACTGACACACTGACCTGACAAATGTCAGCTCTTACAGCCTGAAGTTGAGAGCAGCACTGGCAGAACCAGTGAAGCCACAGTGACACAACTTTGGTTTTGGGCCATATGTACTGCTGGTGTGCTAAGTCCTTTTTTGTGATGTGTATGCTTTGGGTGGTTTCTTTTAAAGACCCCTGACATTATTTAGATAAAAATGATCCCTTCTCTGGTTTCCTCATGAGGACTCCCAGTGTGAAGCTTGAAGAGTTGTACACAGGAGGCAAATGATTTGGTTCACAGTTTGCCTGAGCTAGTACACCTTGTTATCATTATGAGTGAGTGGCTGTAGATGGCAGCTGAGGTGACAGTTACATTTATTTGTCAGATGGCTGTGTGAGGAATTAGAGTATGATTTTACTGAGAACCCTGATTTTCTTATTCATGGCTAATAGCTACTGGATTATAACTACTGGATTTTTAGGTTACTTAAAGTGTATTAAAACAGAAGCAAGGTTTGTATTTAGTATTTATTCAAGAAATATTATATAAATGGTCTGCTATAGAAGTTAGAGTTGACAGGCTGGTGACTCAGCTGCAGTTCTCTGCCATGTCTGTTTACTCAGAAAAATGGCAGTGTTATTCCAGAGCTAATTACTGTAGGCTTTAATAATGAGGAATTTTCAAGTTCTTAAGTAGCATACAAGCAACTAAAGTTTTTAGTAGATTTTCACTGAGCTTATTGTGCACTTTATTATACAGATGTGTTTTCACAAGCAAAAGTATTTGTATTTTTGCTGTTAATAAAATTACTTAAATAATACAAATTTTATATAGTGCAGATATTATTGGAAATAAATGTATTTACATGTACAAATGCATTTTCAGTGCTAACAGTTCCAGCAACAGACATTGCTGAAGAAACTGTAATAAGTGAAGAACCGCCAGTGAAGAGACAGTGCATTGAGATTGTTGAAAATCGTGTGGAGTCTGCAGAAATAGAAGTAAGGAGTATATTACGTGATCTGTGTTGAACAGTGTTCAGGACTGAGATCTGGTTATGGATTTTGTATTGTTCAGGAGGTTAATTTTTGTGTTACCACAGAATGAAGTGTGTGAAACGTTCAACTTGTTCAGTCTCTCCTGTAACTGAAACTCATCTTTTACAAAGTTGTTGTAAAAAGAAAATAGGAGGGCTGTTTGCTTGATCCTATGGTCATGCATGTAAAAATGACACTTGTTTAGGTATGTCAGAACATTTTTTTTGTTTTTCTTGAAGATCACTAGCTGGTTTTTCAAACTGGGTGCTGATACGTTATCGAGTGACTTGACTCTTTCCGCTAGGAGTGAATGAGAGCGCTGTGCCCTCATCCTTCTGTTACAGCCACATGCTTCTGATTGGGAGATCATTTTTAGCAATGTTTCCTTTCCATTCATGGTATCTAGATAACTGTTGATGGAAGTGTGAAACAGTAAGATTCTGTGTTTGTTAATTTTTATCTGTGTGGTGTCCCCCACCTTTTTTTTAAATTCTGAAGCAGTTTGTTATTACACAACTTTGCACCATCTGTTTTTTTTTAAACTATACTGCAAAAGACCTAAGAATGTTGAGAGCTCTTTCCTTTTTATATGACAAATGGTTCAGTTTAAATTGTAGCTTTTTTTATACTAGCCACAAAAGGTCAACCATCTCATTCCTTTTCCGGTTACTTCTAACTGTGCTGACCAGTTTTGGTCAAAAGTTTATGAAAATTGCTGTCTGCTTTGACTAGACTGTAAGTTCTCATTTTGTCAACTCCATGATATTTCATTTATCCAAGGTTGTATTCTCCAACTTCTGTTCATATTATCAAATTGTGCCTAATTGAATACTTTTTGTTGTACAGTATGTGCTATATGTTATCCATGTCTAATAACAATAATTACCACCCCTCATCATTTACTTTCCATGTCCCTAAGTTGTTGCATCAAATACTTTTGGCCTTTGCAGCTTTGTGGTCATTACAGATTATCCTGACAGTTGAAATTTTCTTGCTGCATTTTTTAAAATGTATGACTGTTAAAATAAAAGTATTTCTTTTGTTCACACTTCTAAAAATCTGCCTGAATTATTCATAAAGGAAATTACATTTCCTTAAGCTTTTTAGTAATTCTGTTAAATTAATTTTTAAAAAATCCAGATTGGTTAAGGGATAAATTGATGTGTTCTTAAGTACAGATAATTGGTATAAAAATACCAATAATTCTTTTTAAGGGAATTACCAGTTTTATTTATATATGCTAAACATATTTCTCAAATATTGAAAGAAGTAGATTTACATGAGTTACTTGGTCTTTTACTTTTAAGTGAAAGTTTTGATGACTTTCTTGTCCTTGCCTGTACAACTGGAAATGCACATACAGACCTCTGCCTGTGTGTGAAGGCCTTGTGGTGGTTCACAGGGGTGTACTGCTACTAAAGAAGTGCACACAAAATTGGTTCACTTAAAATTTCTTCATCACAGACAGTAGTAGATATTTAAATTTGGAGTGGGACCCTTCCCCTCATTAAAGTTTTTTAAAAAAATATTTTAGAATGTGGAAATACAGAAAATGTTTGTTTTCTTTGCCTCACTCTAATTCATTCCTTTATTTTATTATGAAGGTTGATTCAAGGCTGAATGCTTTTTTCAGCTGTTTTAAGTTCATAGTGTGTGAACAGTTTACTGTAGTTGTAGAGCTTTTGTAGTTGAAAATCCTCTCATCCATGTGAGGTGACAAACTTTCCTGTGAAAGTATTGTGGAACAACTAAAGCTGTAGTGGTGTTTTTAAATTTTCTGTTCTGGGTCTGTTAAGTTAAAACATTTCAACTCATTTTGTAGATTGACAGCAGTTTTTCCTAAGCAGTTTGATATTTTAAACATGGGATGGCAGCAGAAAAACCCTGTCACACAGATACTCTGTTTTTCATTTTCATGCATAATTCATTAACATACATTGATCTTTATTTTCATTCTTTAATTTGACTGTTTCTCCCATGTTCCATGCTTGAAAGGTGACATGCATTAGAACCAGGACAATCATTTGATTAGACTAAAAAATAATCATAATTGTAAACTAATGATATTCATGGATTCATATCCTGTGTCTTTGTGTTGTTTAAAAGAGTGGTTGATTATTTTAGTTATAGGTATTCCTATTGTCGATGAAAAGTTACATGTATGAAGAAAATTCCCTGGTAAAATGGAAGATTTCTTTAAAGCACTGAGCATCCTCTAATTTGATTTTTATCTGGGTAGATGATATAAAAGGACTCCAGATCTTTAGAACACTTTTGGTTGTGTTCTGAAGAATGTCCCAAGAACGCTTTCTGGGTTTGATTAAATTGGTAGATGAGATACAGTCCTCCTCCCTAGATGTCAAAGATGACTTCTAGATGTCAAAGTCAGAGAGCCAGTTTTGACCATTGAGGCCACAGTAGTTATGTGTTGCTCCTCCAGAAGCATTGGGCTCTTTCCACTGCCAAGCCACACAGCCAACAATAGTTGGCTTCATCTCCTTAACTCATTCTGTTTGCTGGGACTGTAACAGTCTAAAAACTACACCTGTTAGCTGCTGGACTAATCCCTGTGCCTTGAATTGCTAGTCTGTCTGGTAGATACTGGTTTTATCTTCTGGCCATGCCTTGGAGGCTTGAGTTTTTTCTTCCATTTTTCTTACCCTTTCTATAATGTGCTGTACTACTTTTGGGTATGCGGCTCTAGTTCTCTCTTCTGTGGGAAATACTCTTAAAATGTTGTTCAAGAACCTCCCCACCCCCAAATGTTTGCAGTGTGCCCTCACTCCACAGCAGTGATTCCACCCCCAAATGTTTGCAGTGTGCCCTCACTCCACAGCAGTGATTCCATCCCCAAATGTTTGCACACATTCCATAGCAGGGATAGCCCCTTGCTGTTTGTAATGCACCACAGGACTTCTTGCCAGTGAACTACCAATGGTTCCTATTTCTGTGCAGGCCAGCAGATAGAGCAGCTTTGCTTTTTGACAGTATTAGGTTTTTGATGGTTTTTGAGACCAATTCTTGGGATAGATAATGCCCAGCTCAGATCCTCCCAGCCTTCAAAAAGGAAAGGCTGCTTTCCAGATGTGGAAGGATCAACTGTTTTGACTAATTCACTGGGATTGTCTTGTAGCTCTGCTCACCAAGGCTCTAATCCATAAGGTGTTTTACATAAGCTGTTGGTCCCCTCATACTACAGACAGAACTTGTGGCTGGGCTGCTGCTGGAGGATCATTGGTGTGTTTCAGATCCTCTGAGGGGTAGGCTCTGCTGTTCATTTGGCATCTGCCAGGTTAGCTGCTACATGAACATCCTTAAAGTTGCCTTAAAAGCAGAATCCAAATTTTCAGAGGTGGAAGCTGAACCTCATTTTCAAATAAGTAGGCAAAATCAGATGAGCTCTCATTTTATCAGCATATACTCCAAATGAAGCAAACCCTAGCCTGCTGCCTTCGGCTCTTGAAACCCATTTGAAAATCAAGTTGCACTTACTGCAGTTTGTTCTGTGTTCTAGCTAATCTCTTTATAACCTGTTAATATCATCTCCTTCACCTGTTGGTTTTGCTGTTAGCAGTGATCTGACCACTTCTGTCACTGTATTTAAGCACATTCAGCTGACATGTGACTGTGACAAGTACTGAGAACAGGAGCAAGCAGAAGGGAGGCAGAGTATTTTTCTATTTTTCTTACCATGAGAATATGTGAGTGAAGAAGAATAGGGATGCTCTTAGGGGAGTGTGGGGGGCTGAAACTTCTGACAACTGTTAGAGGTATTGAATGGGAATGTGATACTGAACTACTGGGAATATAGTGAAAAGAGGACTTGCTTTCACTGGACCTCGGTTTTTTGATAAGTTGTTTCTCTGGGAGATGGCTTGTTTCTCTGGCAACGTTCCTTACTGTTCCTACTTAACTACAGTGGAAAGAATGATTTTTCAAATCCAATACTACCTTACTCATAAAAGTATGATGCACTTCAATGAAATGGTATTTGATTGAATATTTGATCAAAACAAAACTATTTCCTAAGCAAATTGCTTTTTCAATTGGGCTCAGAGAAAATCAGACAAAATGACAGTCAGTACCTACATCACTGGAGATGGAAATGCATTTTCCTCAGTTCCTAAGGCAGCTTCAGAGGATGTGACATTTCCCCTGTCATTTTGCTTGGAAACCATTTTATATCCACCCTCAGCAAACTTGTATGCAGGATTTTTGCAGCGACTTAAGGATTTCTTTACTAGCTGCTTTTAAAAGGAAAAAAAGCTTATCTGACTAATTGCCTGTTAATTGATAAAGATACAGTGTCCTTGGGGATATGGTTAGACCTCTGGATTGCAGAGTATCAATCCCTGTTTGGAAACAGTTAAGTTTATGCTTTGGTCAGTGGGCAGCTGACACTCTCCAGTGCAGATGGCTGATAGGTAACAGCTTGTCATTTTTACTGTTTGATTAGATATACAACAGCAAGGGCCTGTTAGATTGGATGACTGGAGAAATGTTCATATATTCTGTTAGTATTTAATCACCACACTTCTGCTTTTTTCATTTAGCTCTTTTTTGGTGAAGATTTGCATGGTACCTTTGCAGCTCAGTAGACTGGGGTTTGGTGTCTCCACAGCCCTGTGTGGGGAGTTGGCTGCTTGATAATTGGGGTCTAATTTGCACAGCAGCATTCACAGGTTTGCCCGAGTAAGAACTGAACTGAACAGCTTCTCCATGATACCCTAACACTTGAACTGCATGTAAAGGAAAAGTATTTGCCATTTTAGTTTGTATTTGATACTTCTTTGACAAAATATTGCTGGTTCTGTTTCTAATAGGAAAGAGAAACTCTTCAGAAACAGCTGGATGAGGCAAACAGAGAAGCACAAAAATATCGTCAGCAGCTTCTAAAGAAGGAACAAGAAGCAGAGGCCTATCGGCAGAAGTTAGAGGCAATGAACCGCCTCCAGACTAATAAAGAAGCTGTTTAATAAAAAATGAACACACTGCAAAGCCTGTTACTTTCAAAAACCTGCAGTACAATCTTGAACTGTACACTATATAGGTACAGCCATGGGATTTCATGATAGAGAAGATGCTACAAGTTGATAACTGGACTTAAGCCGTGAGCTCTGATTGATTTCTTGTAACATAAAAACTCTGAATTTAGAAATTGTGAAAAGTATTTAAAATTAAATACTGTAAATAGTTGGTTTTTTTACAGTTTCAAAATGAGTTGATAAATCTTTTTGAAGGGATCCAGAAACATGAAAAGCCAATGTTTTTGTGAAATTTTTGATTTTAGTATGAATCTAACTTCTGAAAAACAGAACAGTTTTAAGGGTGATGCTGATTTAAGCTGACAATTTGAAATTTGATTATGTGACAAAATTAATTAACAGTTATTTCTACATGATAACAGCTCAACTTCTCTGAATAAGACATTTCCAGGTGGAAATCTTTGTACAGCTTTAAGTAGTTGTCTGAGATTCTCTGAAAACCATTTTTGGTTTTTTTTTTTATTTTAGGTGGTGAAATTTTTATATTTAATTTCAGATATATCCAAGTAGATTTACATGTATATGAAGCTAATATTTTTTAAACTTTTCAGTTTGTACATATGCTGCATGTTTTTATAATTTCTACACATACATCTTGCATAGGTATTTTTCAGCAAAGATGAGAAAAATTATGAGAAAAATGTTTAGCCTATAGGTCATTTGAAGTAAGCTAGCAGCCAGTTTTATTGTGGATGGTATATTTCTTGGAAGAATGTAATTTGTAATTAAGGAGAACAAAAAAGTATCTTAATTTACATATTAAGAGGCAAAATTTGGTAGTGGAGGCGTCGAAACTTCACTTTGTGTGTCTTATGATTTTCCTGTACAAACATTTTAAAGTTCAGTAATGAATAGAAAGGAATGTCTCCACTGGAACACAAATAGTAGCTATTTTAGACTGTCCCTGTTGGTCTCTCTTCCCCAATAGCCTTGAAATGACTTCAGTGATACATTTTTTTTAACGGACTTTTGCATTTTAATTACGCAATTGGATGAGTAATTTTTTTTTATGTTGTAGTGATGCTCTTCCTAGCCAGCATCATTGTTCCTCACTGTGATACTGTGTTTGTGTGTGTCTGTGCAGTGATCTATTATGCTTAAAATTTATATGGCACGTTACATCTTCAGAGCATTGTAAAATCTTTTAAAGAACCCTTACTGCTCTGCCTGAGGCAGGTAAGTGAGTGTTACTGTCTCAATTTTTAACTGGTTTAAATGCAACATGAGGGAGTTACATGACTGGCTTACCACCACGTGAACCTGTGGTCACCTGGGAATGGATCTCAGGAGTTCCTGGCTTCTAGTCCTGTGCTTAGACTGAGCTGCCTTAAGATTGTTCAGTGCTGTGTTACATTAAATTTTGAACTACTGTGCAGATCCGTTTTTTGTAAGATAAAACTCTTTGTGCTTTGCTTTGTTGTTCCATGTTCACTGCTTTTATGGAATTGTTTATATAAACTTAAGCAAAATGTCTGGTTTATCTATACTGTACACGGAAGAATTACCCTTAAAACTGTACTCTGGCCTACTTTTTCTATTTTACAATTAAATATCTTTTCCACATATGTAAAGTGTAGAATCAGTTCAATTGGTTTGTGTGTGAATGAGAAGGTCAAAGATGTTCTGTATTAGACATCTGGAAAAACATGAAAAAACAGTTTTGGGTATAAAATGGCTTTAAATGGTAGGAGGGAGGAATGGGAAAAGAATTGCATTGTACCATACAAAACTTTGTCAAACCGGTCAAAATCTGACTTGGGTTTATAGATTTGGCATTTAGGAAAAATTCTAAATATATTTGTATTCTAATATGTTTGGTAAATTTGATTTTGATTGGCAAATTCAAACTAAAAATAATCAAAAGATAGAAATGGGAAATCTATGGTGATGAGTTTTAGAAGAATTGTTTTCAAGGACATGTTAGTACTAGGACTTGAAGCAAATCTTGTGCAGTGGTTAACTGGAAATTGCTCTATTTTAGGGATTGTTTCAGGAACTATCCATTATGTCATTAGCAGATTGAGGAACCAGTTAACCAAGGGAAATGTGCTGCTTAGGCATTGCTGCAGTGAATTATGTTGTGATGAAAATAATGTTTGTGTCCTCACATCCCACAAATTTAACAACAGTGTAATCTCAGTGATTTCTTAATAATGATAAGAGTGGCACTGTTTGAGTGGTGATAGTGGCAACATCCAAGTGGAGAGTTTCCCACGGTTGTGAGAGCAGATGTTGGCAGCAAACAATGAAATGAACCTTTTCTATTCATTCTGTTTCCTGTGAGCAAATATTCTATTCCTCATTGTCCATAACAAAACCCTTCTGAGTGCAGTGTAGCTATAACAAAACCTTATTTATCACCAGCAATATTTACCTTGCCTGTAATCCATTATCAGCTATTTTATTTTAGTTCTGAACAGGACCTGCTGTTTGTTCTCTTCTGCACAGAACAGGAGATGAACCCAATGAAGCCATCACCTGTGAGCTCAAGTGTAGGGTATATGTTACATGAAATATTTCTTATATAGTTTAGCTCTGAAAACATTGTTAAAAATATTGTTCCTTATTTGCTGTTCCAAATTAAAAATATAAATGTAATTAGCTACCATCTGTTTCTTTGAAAGATATTTCAAAGAAATTAATCACTTGTAATGAGCTAAAATCAGGTGTTTTGAGAACTTTGAGCTCATTTTGAGTTGGTCCTTTGCTTGATGCCTGTCCCTTCTTAGCTTGTTCCCCTGTATGGGATCATTTACAGTGCAGCCAAGAGATGTTCATAAATTCCCATTAAGCATGTTGACAGCTTGGTACTTTTGTCCTAATGTTTCCAGAGCAATATGAGATAAACCAAATGAACATAGTAGTTTTTTGCACTTTTCTCAATGCCTTTTTATCAATTTGGGGTTTTTTATTTCAGTACATTAATCTGATGTGTGTGTGTCAGAGCGTCTTTCTCATATCTATAAAACAGTTCCTTCTCAAGTATCTCTTTGCAGCAGAAGCTAGAAAAGGTTCCACACTGTTCTGTAGACAGTGTGTGTGAGAACAATGTAAAAACTTTCTAGAACTATGTAAGTGGTTGTGCTGCATTACAGTACCTGGGGCAGAGAATCAAAGCTGCTCTGGCAGCCAGTTCTCTCCTGTGACAGAACAGCAAAACTACTGGGAGGTGTCAGACACAGGGTCCAGCCTGGCATCCTGTCTCCAGCAGGGCCAGCCCCAGGCAGGAGCCTAAAGAATGGCAAGAATTTATTGTATGGGAAATAATTTCCCTTTCTGGTGCTTAATCCACAAGTCCTCCCTCTTGTCTTTTCCCAGGGCTGCCTGGTGCAGTGTGGAGCAAGTGAAGATGGATAAGGATTCAACACTGAGTAGTGTCAAAGACTGTGCTGCCAGAGAGAGGTCAGGATGTGTTTTCAGGTCCTAAAACTGGAACAAGAGGCAATCTATAAGGCTGTTCTTTCAAACTGAGAATGATCCAAGTGGAGGACTTGGAGGAATTCTGGAGAGACAAGACTAAATCCCAGTGCTTGTGCATGTCATACAGAAGAAAGGAAAGCACAGTGAGGGAAGAGGTGCCTTTTCCCAGCTCAGTGGTCTAGGGTGAGACCCTTGGAGGAACATCACCCTGCTCAGTGTAACCTGCTCTGCTCTCATCTGAAGGGCAGGACATCCACAGAGGATTGCTGCTGCTTCACATTGTGCTTCTGGAACTGGCAAGGGCTGTGAAGCCTTTCCTTTTAGCAGCATGGACTGACAGCATAAGGACTGAACACTTGTGGGGATGTAGGTATATCCTCTTCTTGGGGAAAAAAAAGAGTTCTCAAAACAATTCTTAGGAAAAGTTCCTGTCTCCCGTATCAAATCTGTTCTGTGCTGGTACCTTGTTTTCATGGCTACTGCTAGCACAGTAGCCAGGTGTGCTGGTCTAATAGCTGCTAGCTTTTATTTGGTTTTGAAAGCTCTTGAACTTTTTCTTTCCCACAAGTCTTATGTTAATATGCCTTGTATTCATGTCATGGATTACTGTGAGACTTCTGAAAAATTGATTGAAAATGGGAAAGTGCAGAGGCAGCTCCTCTTAGTGATACACTATCTTACACATCAAAAGAGCACAGATGAGAACATGAGAGATTGTAAAAACCCTCAGCTGGGAGGAGTTAGATAAACACTCACCAATGACCTGCCTGTTAAACCTTTTCCAGAATGTGTGAGTCTGAGAGATAAAGGGAGCTATAAAGGGGGAAGCAGCTGGCAGGGCACCAGACCAAACTGACCACAGCTCCCAAAAGGTTGTGGCCCAGGTTTGGAGAGGTGCATTCCTAAGGAATCAGTATGGAGCCTGAGGAGTACAGACAGAGAGGTGAGTGATCTGTGCCTCTTGCAAATAGGTAACATCTGCTCATGGAGATCAGCTGTTGTGGGGCTGGGAGTGATACCGAAAATAAGGATGGGCTATATCCTCTTTAAATGTGCACTTGGCCTTGAGACTTGGATCTGCTGAGGCAAAAATGTGTCCCAGGGTTGAGTTTAAATTAATGGATTTAGTGTCTGAGGGTAACTTAGCCTTTTTGGTCATACATCTAAGATGCTGTGGGAAAGCTGCAAAACTGTAATTCTGAATAAACTTGTGCTAAGGGGTTGTGCACAATAGTTTTTCACTGGCTTCACACCCTGAGACTCCAGACTTGGACAGTTCTGGAGATGGAGAGCCAACCTTGTTTCTAGGGCTGCAGGAGATTGCCTTAAAAAGTGGAGAAGGGGTGTGGAGCAATGCAGCTGATTTCAGGGGATGCAAAAGCAGGTTTGCTATAATGACAAGGAAGTGTAGGACATGAAAATTTAATACCTGTGAAATGCAGTTTCAATTAATTTGTAGGCAAGAAAATCTAACCTTTCAGTAACCAAACAAACTGTACTTGTACCATGATTGTGTTTTAAAGGTATATTTGAACTATTCAATGATGGTACTGAAAAAGCCCTATGAGGCTGTTTTAGAACATTATTGGATGGGACAAGTAGGGTGTAGGAGGGAGGAGCTGGGAGCAGTATTCCAATGCTGTTAGAACCTCTGTCCAATGCTAAGGACAGATTGTGTGCAGTGCCTGTACTGCTAGTTAGCGTTTCCATAACTGAAGCTGAAACCACTGGTTTGCCTCTTGCAGGGAAAGAGATGGTGGATTACATTTGCCAGTACCTGAGCAATGTGAGAGAGAGACGGGTGACTCCTGATGTACAGCCAGGTTACATGAGAGCCCAGCTGCCTGACTCTGCCCCAATGGACCCAGACAGCTGGGACAACATCTTTGGAGATATAGAGAAGATTATTATGCCAGGGGTAAGAAATAAAATGTAATCATGGCAGGAAAAAGCCATTACTACCTGGGGTGAACACCAAATCCTGGGAATGCACATCTTCTGCAGAACATTGTTCTAAATAAGTAAAGTACCCAAAAATGTAGCATGAATCTTGTAGATGTTATCTCCACAGTTGTGTTCCTAACTAATTTTAAGGGTTAGATTGTGAGTGTATTTTTAAACTACTTTGTATATAACTCATATTTGCTTATAGGGAAACAAATTCAGCAGTATGAGAAAATCATTAGCTTCACAATGTCTCTACCTGCTGAACCATATAATCTTAATTTCAGAGATGTGGAAACTGGGCACAGCCAGGTGAAACAACTCTTGCCCAGCTTCATGCACATGCAAAGCTTGTTTCCTGTGCTTTGAATGTAGAAGTCTACTTCCTCTTGTACATAAATACTGCAGATTCTGCTAAGGGAATTCATATTACCAAATTGCATGTTTTATGTAAGAAACTTTTTCAAAGCCCGTTCTCAAATTTTTTTGTAGATGTTTGCAGAAACTTGATCTGATGTAGGAGAGGCAATCAGATTACATGCACTTATGCTGGTGTCTCACACACCAGCTCATTCAGGTGTATAGAAGGGTTTATATAGTTGTAAATTGCTGTGTGTGGCTAAAGGTAACTTGTTGTTTGACAAAATGAGCAATGTTGTTGCAAGGATTCCCTTTATAAAGATAAATATTTTGATAAATCTTTCTGCCTCTGGTCTTTCAAACACAGCACAACATTCTTTCCTGTTCAGAATCTTTGTCTGCCTGTTTAATTCAGATAAATGCTTTTGCTGTTATTTGTAATTTATCTGTTAATAATGCAGTGTTATCATCTTCTAGTGCTGCTCCCCTGTTGGTATTATCTGTACAGCTCTCTGCTGCAGATATATAGTTGCATGTATTGTGTTGCTGTAATCCTTTTCTCTCATTCTAAACAGATAGGAACCACTACACCTCATGGAAAGTTTTGTGACATTTTCAGACTGAACTTCTACATAATTCTGTTCTAGGTAGTCCATTGGCAAAGTCCACACATGCACGCCTACTTTCCAGCTCTAACTTCCTGGCCTTCACTCCTTGGAGATATGTTGGCTGATGCAATTAACTGCTTGGGATTCACATGGGTAAATTTTTTAGGGCTATTTTAGACATTCCTCTCCTGTGTGTAACATGCAAGAGCAGGTCTTAGTCATTCTTTCTTGTT